CCAGGGAGGGGCTTGGCAGTGGGACACAGTATCTGCGGGCAGCAGCCTGCCTGTGCCGGGGGGCTGCAGCCGGGGCTGGGGGCTTGCCCGCATCCCCTGGCCTCCTGCCCTTTATCTCCACCACCCACGCTCACTCCCGATGCGTTCAGGGCCTCGTGCCCCTCTGCTGATTGCTCCAGACCCACGGCAGCCTGGGGCGCTGGGCCTCCATCGGGGACCCTTGGCTGGGGGCAGGGGTCCTTTCCCGGCCAGCAAGGGCGCCAGGAGCTGGTGTGGGATCTGCAAACACCGCTGCTTGCACAGCCACGCGCCCCGCTGTTTTGCAAGAGCCCCCATCCCTCCCAGGAGGGAGGAAGGTCAAGCCCAGGCGCCCCCCTGGCCCCAGCAGCCCCAGGATGGGGCAGGAGCAATGGTCAGGGGGGGCCGCATCCCCCTCCCGTGCCTGATGCAGCAGCACCTGGCCGTGGCAGAGCCCGCTGGCTCGCCCCCCCTGCGCTGCACGTGCACGCGATGCAGCGGGGCAGAAGGCAATCGGTTCCCATCTGTGTCCTCCGCGGCAGCTGAGCCCTGAGCTGGCCCCGTGCTGCGCCCAGTCCCGGCGCTGCCGCCCGCCGCGGCCACTTCGGCTCCAGCTCTGGCTGGGGGACGCACGGGGCCCCCCGACGCCCACCCGCCGGGCGGCTGGGAGCCAGCTGCCCGCAAGGTCGCCTGTCCGCAGCGGGTAAATCTTTAACTGCTTCTTGGGAAACACCTGGGAGCCACCGATCGTGGCCGTGCCGGGGGTTCGGAGATGCTGGGGGGGTGGGAGCGAGGAGGAGACCCTCAGGGGGACCCCTGGCCCTGTTCCCACCCACCCTGCGGCCAGGTACGGGGCAGCCACCCGCCTGGCACATCCCCCTGCTGCCCGGATGGAGGGGGAGGCCCGGGGCGGGGACGTGCCCACCCCACCAGTCACGTCCCTCTTGGTTTCTCTGCCCAGCTCGCTCTGCCCGTGGATTGAAGCGTGCGGGTGCCGGTGCCGCAGCCAGCGCGACGGAGAGCCAGGGACCCCACGGCGGGCAGCCGGGAACGCGCTCCAGCCTCCAGGGATGGCCGATAAGTGCAGCGAGGGGCTGCTGGTGAGTGCTGGGGCGCGGGGAGTGGGCTGACCTGGGGGAAACCCTGCAGTGGACCCGGAGCACACAATGCAGGGCGAGGGAGCGGGATGCCGGGGCTCCTAAGGGGCTCCAGGTGGCCACCGGGATGCCCTGCCGGGGTTGTGCCCCCAGCACGGCGCCTGGGGGGCCCCTTGATGGAGCCGCCAGCGGTTTCTCGCTCCCAGCCCGCTGCCCGCGAGGCTCGGGGTGTGGTGTCTCACCGCCTGCAGATGCTATCGCCCTGCTCAGGCACGCTGCCTGCTTTATCGCCCGCCCCAGCTCTCCAGGGGAAGGCGGGAAAGCCGCGCGGCTCCTCCACCTTTGCTGGGCACGGGCACCTCTCTGTGCTGGGTACAAGCTCCTGCAGGGGCAGGGGACGGGGCTGTCACCCTCTGCGTCCACCCCGCCAGCTCTCCCTGACAGCAGGAGCAGTGGGATGGAGGCAGAGGCAGGCACCGATCCCACATCCCCACCAGCGCTGCGTTGTGGGGTGCGCTGCCCTCACCCCCTGGCACAGGCGTGTGCAGTGTCCTCCTGGGAGGGCTGCACTGACCCCGTGCTGGTCACTGCTGTACCCTCTCAGACAAGGGATTTGGGAACCCGGAGCCCCGCTGCCCTGAGCAGCCGCCCGTGTCCTGCAGGTGAGCGCAGGCTGGGCTGGGCTTCTGCCTTTTCCCCTGTGGGTGGGAACTGAGCTCCGGGGCTGACATGCTCGCCCCCCTCCCCTTCCCGGGGGGCTTCCCGAAATAGCTGCACGCTCCAGCCAGAGGGCTTGGAGCCAGCACTTCCCTGGGAAGCCGGGAGCCAGGGGAGCGGTGTGCTCCAGCGGGCGCTCCCAGCACGTGTGTGCACGGCTCCCTCGCTGCCTGGCCCAGCGTGGCCCTGCCAGCGGTGCCCACGGCGGCACCGAGCTCCACTCCTGCCCGTGGCAGGGGTGGGAAGGTGAATTTCCCCCTGGTTGGGCTCGGTGAGGTGCTGGGGACGTTGCCAGGCTCGGCTGGAGCTCTGCCATCCCCGTGCGTGCCGTGCCGGTGCCCCTGCGTGTACGTCATGCTTGCCACGAGCCCCGCGCCTCCACGCTGCTACCGTGTCCTTGCCGTGGCCGCAGCACTGACAGCGGGGAGCCAGGCACCCAGCGCCCACCTGCTGCTGGTCAATCTTTAACTCGCTTCTCCAAAGGCCCTGCCCAGCCCACGGCACACGGGGAGCTGGGGAGGAAGGGAAACCACGGGGGTCTGGCACCCGGTGCGCCGGTAACCCCGTCCCGCAGCCCTCTGCTCCCCGTTTGCAGGGCGAGGGGCTCCCCGAGCAGGGTGGGCGCAGGGCACGGCGGTGCTGGGAGCTGGCAGGGAGCACGGCAGCATCCCTCACGGGAGCATCCCTGCGCCGGGCCAGCTGCAAGTGCCCTGGGACGAGGTGTCGCGGGACAGGGCTTTGGCTGCTGAGCTTTCTGGGTCATTGGGGAAGGCAGCTAATCTCCTTGGCCTGCCTCCAGCGCCGCGCAAACAGCCTGGCAAAGCGTGGCCCCTGCCCTGCCCTCTAATCCCTGCCAGCAGGTGCAGTTCCCAAGCCCGACTGAGGTCCCATGGCACAGTCCCTGTGCCCGGGGGGGGTGGTGGCGGTGCTCGGGGTGCCCGTTTTGGGGAGGACAGAGGGTGACGGCTGAGGCTCTCCATCCCCTGGCTGTGTGGTGTGCGGCTGTGCCTCAATTTCCCCACCTGCGGGCTGGGGTCTGCGCCCTGCTGGTGAGACAGGAATGCCATGCGTGTGGATGCCTGTGTAATTCTGTGCCTGCTGGCTCCAAACCGCAGGCAGGAGGGGGGGCTCGGTGCCCCTTCCCCTCCCAAACCCAGCAGGGGCCGTGGCAGCGGGTGCGCAGCAGGCGCTGGGATGCAGGGGAGCTCCAGGGGCTGGCTCAGTCCCTGTGTGGCCGAGCAGGGGGATCCGACAGCCTCTCCCTCCCTGTCCTTTCAGGACATTTTGTTTTGTCCCCGGCAGCGGGCTTTGTTTGGGCTCCAGCCGTGCCAGCGGCTCCTGACTCCCAGCCTTGCTTTGCTGGCACAGCCGGGCAGCGCTTCGGCCGGGGGGGCGCACGGCTCAGGTGGGCTCCTGCCATCGCCTGTCCCAGCCCGGGCAGGCACCGCTGGCACCGTGCTCGCAGGGATTACAAAGCTTGGGGGGGGGGCCCTGCCCTGTCCCAGACACCCCCAGCAGCGCGGTGCCGCCGGCCCCGGGCAGGGGAGCCAGCAGAGCGAGCAGGAGCTGCGGAAGCGGCTCTTGGCTGCGGGAGCCCTTCCCGGAATAACAAGGGGCAGCGCTGGGGGGGGCCGGCGGGGGATTTTTCTGCCTGAGCGCTCCAGGAGAATCGTGCCCGCGCCGTGAGAATGGGGCCGGAGAGAGGCAGCCCCGGCGGGAAGCGCCCGGCTAGGGGCTGGTGGCACCTGGTAGGTCCCCAGGCGGCGTCCCTGCCCTGGGCACCCTGCTGCCCTGCTTGGGGACGGGGTGATGGGGGCTGCAGGGGCAGGAATGATGCTCCCAGAGCCAGAGCACGCAGGGACTGGGGAGCTGGGAGAGCTCAGGGCCCTGTGCCTGGGGAAGGACATCTGGTGGTGGCGTGTTGGTGGCCCAAGCAAGGCGGTGCAGCGAGCCAGGCCATGGAGGGATGCATGTGGGCACCTTGTAGGGTGTCGGGGCGCAGGGCTGCACGTGGAACAGGGCTGGAGGGCTTGGCTCCATCCCCCTGTCCCTGCCACTGGGGTGGCACGAGGGGGAGGCTGCGTGTCCCAGGGGGGCACAGCTGGGTGCTGCTCCCCGTGCCCTGGGAGCATCCCGGGCAGCCGGTGCAGGAGAGGACAGGGATGGGGCCGAGCGCTGGGTGCCGGTGTGGGAAGCCGAGCGCCCGCCCCACACACGTGAACGGCACACGTGTGCGCCCGCAGCGCCGCTGCCCGGACCCCAGATGGTCTCCTGAAAGCGCCGGCCCGTCCCCCCGCCCTCGGTGCTCCATCACGCCTGGCTGGCGCTTTGGCCGCGCTCCCCAGCCGGGGCGCGGGGCTGGGAGCAGCTGGGGCACCCCGAGCCTTGCTGGGGGGCTCCCTGCCTCTGCCCTCCACATGGACATGGCACCCTACTGGGGGTCCCAGCCCGCATTGGGCAGGGGGATAGGGGTGAGAGCGGCGAGGCTGGGGGTGTCGGGGCGGTGGGGGGCTGGCAGCGCAGCCCTCCTGCCAGGCAGATGGTCCCCCCGCGGGGCTGTGACCTTGTGGTGACTGCCGTGGATCCCTGCGATGCCCAGCGGCTCGGCTGATGTCAGGGAGAGGTGGCATGGGACCAGGCTGGGGATGTGCCACCGGGCAGGCTCGTCCCAGCGCCCCCGTCCCCATATCGGGCCGTGCCAGGTCCCAGCAGTGCCCAAACCTAGGTTGGGGTCGGATGTGCGAGGCTGGGCAGCGTCACGGTGATGGGAGAGGGGCAGGAAGATATTGTGAGAGGCTGGGGGCATGGGAATGGGACAGCACATGGGGGACAGCGAGGGGACACTGCCCTCTGCCAGGCTGCGGTGTGGGAAGGAGCCAGGGGCTGCGGGGGCAGGATGAGCCCCGCAGGGAGGGCAGCGCTGCCCGCCGGAGCGTGTGGGGCTGCAAACAGCTGGACCCCGCTAATGAGGCCTCATTAAGCAAGGATGTGAGCTGTGCCAGGGCTCAGCACCGCGCAGCCCCCCTCTCCTGGCCCTGCTGGGAGGGACACACACACACACACACACACACACACCTTGCTGGCGGGGGCACGGCTGTGGGGCGAAGGGGCCGGGCCGGGAGGCGAGCGGGGCTCGGTGCCAAGCCCTGCAGGCAGCGGGCGGGGGGAGGCGGGCGGGCAGCTGCCACCGCGCGGGACCCAGCGGTGCCAATGAAGCCGGGGACGCACGGAGCCGGCCAGCCTGGCCCCCCGGGGTCCAGCCACGAGCAGCCGGGCCCCCCCCGGCCCCGCCAGCAGGTCAGTGGGGTGGTGAGAGCGGGGTCTGGGGGGGCTGCGGCAAGGGGACAGGGTGGTGGTGGCCGTGCCAGCGCTGTCCCCTGCCGCCGGGGCTCTCCAGGGTGCTCTGTGCCAGCCCTGGGGGGCTGGAACACGGCCACAGGTCTGTAGGGCCCCCTGAGCCCCCCCTATCCAGCAGGGACAGTGGGGTGCTGCAGGGGAGGAGGGTGGCTCTGGAGGTACCCAAATGTGGACCCCTTTGCCCACCTCTACCTCCAGCCCCCCCCGGGACCACAGCTGCAGTAGGGAGCAGGAAGGGTTTGCTCGAGCACGGGGCTGTGTTTTGGGGCTGTTCACTCTGAGACCTACTGATGGCCCCTCTGCCCCTCTTCCCACGGCACCCAGGAGCCCCGGGCAGCTGGAAGAGCAGCAGGCACCCCTCTCCCTGTGACCCCATCCCTGTCCCCCACAGAACGGGGCCCCCACACAAAAATGGATAAGGCTGATGTCCCATAGGGTGCCTCTGCTGGGGCTGGAACATCCCCTGGGGGGCAATTTAAGAAGGGGGGGGTCCACGCTGGAGACACACTGGGGGTCCCCAGGTGCTTCTGCCTCCACTCACCCCACGGGGACAGTGTGTCCCCCCCCCCTCCTGCAGCCATCAGCTTCCCAGGCATAAATCAGGGGGAGGGGACGGTCCCTTGGGGAAGTGGGGGGCATCCGGGCACCCCGGCCAAGCTGCCATTGTGCGAGGCAGCGCTGCTTAGCATGAGAAAGGCTCCGGTGCCAGGCGCCGTGATGGATGGTGCCTGCGCTGCGGGACCGGGGATGCTTTGGCTGTCTTGTAGGGTCCCAGGGAGGAAGGGTGCCCTGTGCGCCCCAAACGTCCCCTTTGGGGACGTTTGGGGCGCACAGGGCACCCTTCCTCCCCGCTGTGCGTGGAAAATTTAGGGGAATTGGAGCAGGGTGCTGCCCCTGTGTTAAATCCCATCCCCACAACATGAAGCAGGGTGAGGGGCTCGTCTCGCTGGCCCTTGGGTTCCCCCCCCCTTTTTTTTTTTTTGCCACGCAGCTGGGTGGTTAATGAGTGGAAAGGACGGGGCGACCTTCCCAGATTGGGGTGGGGGGGTGGGGGATTGTAGCGGGCTGATGGGTGAGCATGCAAGCGTGTGCACACGTGTGCGTGCTTGGGCACACATGTGGCTGTCCCCTTATTGGGGACAAGCGTGCCTTAGCCCTGTGCTGCAGTGTGGGATGGCAGAGGGCCGGAGCTCTCTCGGTGCACTGCTGCCAGGTGCCTCAAAATTGGGGTGCCCGTGGAGGCAGCGAGTGGGCCATGATGTCTCTGGGGTCACCCAAGCAAAGGGAGTGGGGTGGCCCCCGGCTTCGGGACAGGGTTGGGGTCCCCTCTGGGCTCTTGGGGCTCCAGGCTGTGTTGGGGTCATGCGGTGTCCCCCAGAAAACCCATCTCAGGGAGGCTGGAGCGGTGTTCCCCCACCTGCCAGCCGTGCTGAGCGGGGGCCTCATCAGTGCAAGCATCTCAGCAGCTTTATCAGGGGCTTCCCAATGGGATCATCCCGCATGAGCGCACCCCAACATGGGGACATCGCCAGCATCGCCCCCACGCCCTGGGGACCCCTCCACCCCACACCACGCAGGACCCCACAAGCAGAGGCTGTGCCCTAGGGCAGACCGGGATCCCCCACCTTATGCCTGGGGGGGATGTGGGGACATGCGAGGGGGACGAGGGGTGGTCCTGGGGGCTGGGCAGGAGCACCCATGGGTGCTGGGAGAGCCGGGATGCTGTGGGCGCATTTTCCACGCACCCTTTTCCTGTGGGGCCTGGCACGGGCACCCCAGTACCCCAGCTGAGTATGGCCAGCGTATTGCCACCTATTGCCCCTACAGCCCCTATAGCCCACCCCAAATCCTCCCCAAGCCCCCCGCCGTGCATCCCGCTGCCCCCACCGCCCCCCCGCCGCCCCTGGCGCGTGCGGGCCCCGCTCCGCAGCAGATGGCTTTGTTTGGCAGCGCGGTGCCGGAGTCGCCGGGCATCACGTCCCGGCTGCGCTGGCCCTAATCGAATGACACGGTTTGGTGCACCGCGCCTGCTGCCCGCGCCCCGCCGGCGTCAGCAGATCCGCAGCGACGGCTCCCCATTCCTGGCCCGGCACGGGGGGCGCGGGCAATGCCAGCAGCTCCCCAAAAAATATCACCAACCCCTGGCTGGCCCGGAGCTGGGCAGCGTCTCGGGGAGCTCGGTGTGAGCTCGGGGCCACGCTGGGACAGGGCCACGGGGTGGCGGGTGCCATCGCCGCCGGGGGTGACGGGCACCCGTCCCCTTTGTTGTCATCCCCGGTGTGAGCGCGCATTGTGCCGCGGGCTGCACAAAGCGCCCATTCTTGCCCCCACCCCTCCCCGTGTTCAGGGCTGATGGGCACGGGGGCTGTCCCCCGGGGGGGTCCCACCTGCACGGGAAGGGTCAGCACCCCTGCCACTGCAGGACACCTTTCCTGGGGTTGGGGGACCCCAGCTTGACCCCATCACTGCACCCCACTCCCCATCCCAGGGCACCCACCCCAGGGCACAGCCTGGGGGGCCGGGGGTCCAACGGTTCCCCCCCCCCGGCTGCGGGCAGTGGCCACCCAGCGGGGCCCCTTTTTGCTGGGCGCAAGGGGTGGGGGAGAAGGAACAGAGGCCCCTTTGTGCTCGGGCGCCCGAGCCTGCTTTGTATGACTTGCAGGCTCTTCCTTCTCTGCAGCCGGGCTCCGGGGAGAGCTATTCATCGGGGCTGGCGTGGGGCGGGGGGGCTGCCAGCGCTGCCTCCCCTCTCCTTGGCACTGCGCGTGCACGGTGGGGGGGGGGGTGTTGGCGCTGGGCTGCCCAGCCTGGGGAGGGATGGGGCAGGATGCAGGGGACCTCCTGGCCCCGCTCGGTGGCTGTCACCCCTCCGATGGGCCCGGCAGGGGTGTCCCCCCCGGCTGAGGCACCCCGCTGCATCTCTCCGCAGAACGGCGCCGTGCCCGGAGAGCGGGGCAAGCAGGACAAGAGCGTCAAACGCGGCAACTGGGGCAACCAGATTGAGTTTGTGCTGACCAGCGTGGGCTACGCCGTGGGGCTGGGCAACGTCTGGCGCTTCCCGTACCTCTGCTACCGCAATGGGGGAGGTGGGTGTCGTTGGGGTAGGGGCGAGGGGAGGCCCCGGGGTGGGGATGGGGGCGTGCGCCCTGCTCCTGAGCTGTGCCGGGGGGGCACGGCCGTGTGTGGGGCTGCTGCCCGCTCACAGCCTGTGGTTCCTGCCCGCCAGGTGCCTTCATGTTCCCCTACTTCATCATGCTGGTGTTCTGCGGCATCCCCCTCTTCTTCATGGAGCTCTCCTTCGGGCAGTTCGCCAGCCAGGGCTGCCTTGGCGTCTGGAGGGTCAGCCCCATGTTCAAAGGTAAGGGGCTGCCCGTCCCCACAGCGGCACGGGGCGCACGCCCACGCTCCCGGTGTGTCCCTTGCACAAACCTCCGGCACGTTGTGCAGCCCTGCACAGGCACGTGCTGCTTGCACAGCCCTGCATGCCTTGTACACGCACTGCCTGTGCACGCACACACTGCTCACACATCCCCACCAGGACATGCTGCCTCCCTGGCACACATCGCACGCATCCCTGCACGCCCCACACGTGCCCCGCACGCTCCCCTCCTGCAGCACGACGTACACTCCTGCCCCGGCATCCAGTGCTTGCATTACACACGCATCCCTGCACTGCCACACGTGTCCCCACAGAGGTTATTCAGGCCACCGTGCGTTCATCCTAGGTGTATTTCCCTGTCCTTGGGTGCCCTCTGTCACTGGGTGCTTGCAGCTCCAAATCCCCATGGCTATGCAAGGAGAGCCCCCAGCCCCGTGGTTCTCCAGGCTCACCCGTAGTCCTGCCAGCCACGCACCCCCTGTGCCCTAAGGAGTTCCCCGTGCCCGGCAGGGGGCTGAGCCCTGCATGCTCCTCGCCCCGGTGCCGCCCGCCCCCGAGCCGCGAGCCCCGCACTGCCCGCGCCGCGCCGCTCACCCCTCCCCGGTGCTGTTCCCAGGCGTGGGCTACGGGATGATGGTGGTGTCCACGTACATCGGGATCTACTACAACGTGGTGATCTGTATTGCCTTCTACTACTTCTTTGTGTCCATGACGCGCGTGCTGCCCTGGACGTACTGCAGCAACGCCTGGAACACGCCCGACTGCGTGGGGGTGCTGGACGGGAACCTCTCCAGCCACGCCGCCGTCAACCTCACCCACCTCCTCAACGCCACCCAGAAGCGCACCAGCCCCAGCAAGGAGTACTGGAGGTACTGGGGAGGGGGACTGGGAGGTATGGGGGACGTCGGTGGCGGGGCCCCGCTGATGCTTGCTGTCCCGCCGGCGCAGGAGGTACGTGCTCAACCTCTCGGATGACATCGGGAACCTGGGCGAGGTGCGCCTGCCTCTGCTGGGCTGCCTCGGCGTCTCCTGGGTCGTCGTCTTCCTCTGCCTCATCAAGGGCGTCAAGTCCTCGGGGAAGGTACCCGCGTGCCCCAGCTCCAGGACGCGCCCCCTTTTTGGGTGACCTGGCTGTAGCCCCGCCCCATGTCCCCAGTGTCCCCGCCCCCTCGCCCCGTGTCCTCGCCCACCGAGCCCCCTCCCCGCAGGTGGTGTACTTCACGGCCACCTTCCCCTACGTGGTGCTCACCATCCTCTTCGTGCGTGGCATCACGCTGGAGGGGGCCCTCACCGGCATCATGTACTACCTGACGCCCCAGTGGGACAAGATCCTGGACGCCAAGGTGAGCGGGGACACCGGGGGGACAGGGGGAGGACCAGGGGGGGACGTGGCACACGGCGCTGACCCAATCCGTGGTGCAGGTGTGGGGTGATGCCGCCTCGCAGATCTTCTACTCGCTGGGCTGCGCCTGGGGTGGCCTCATCACCATGGCCTCCTACAACAAGTTCCACAACAACTGCTACCGGTGAGTGCCTGCCCGTGTCCCCCCGCGCCACCCCCTGGCCCCGCCGCCGGCCCCTGACCCGCCTCTCCCCGCAGGGACAGCATCATCATCAGCATCACCAACTGCGCCACCAGCGTCTACGCCGGCTTCGTCATCTTCTCCATCCTGGGCTTCATGGCCAACCACCTGGGCGTGGATATCTCCAAGGTGGCCGACCACGGCCCCGGCTTGGCCTTCGTCGCCTACCCGGAGGCTCTCACCCTGCTGCCCATCTCCCCGCTCTGGTCCATCCTCTTCTTCTTCATGCTCATCCTCCTGGGGCTGGGCACGCAGGTAGGGCACGGCGGGGTGGGGACGGGGGGGGGTGACACCATGGGGCTGAGGCTGACGCGCTGCCCCCTCCGCCCCACGTGCAGTTCTGCCTGCTGGAGACGCTGGTCACGGCCATCGTGGACGAGGTGGGCAACGAGTGGATCATCCGCAGGAAGACCTTCGTGACGCTGGGGGTGGCCGTGGCAGGCTTCCTGCTGGGCATCCCGCTCACCACCCAGGTGGGGCACCCCGGGGTGCTGATGGGGATGGGGGGGACCTGTGCCACTGTCATTGCCACTGTCCTTGAGCCATGGAACTGTGGTGGCATCCGGGCTGGGTGCTGCCGCGGTGGCACCGGTGCAGCCACGCCAACGGGGTCCCTCTCGCAGGCGGGCATCTACTGGCTCCTGCTGATGGACAACTACGCCGCCAGCTTCTCCCTGGTCGTCATCTCCTGCATCATGTGCGTTGCCATCATGTACATCTACGGTAGGTGCCCCCGCGGTGGGGTGGGGGCTTGGGGGCTCGTGGCCAGTTGGTGGCTGGATGCCGAGGCTGGCAAGGTCGTTGGGCAACGACCAAGGGGCTCAAAGGTCCAACCAAGGGGGGCTTCGGGGTCTCACCAGGGCTGACGGCCACCTGTCCCCACAGGGCACCGCAACTACTTCAAGGACATTGAGATGATGCTGGGCTTCCCGCCCCCGTTCTTCTTCCAGATCTGCTGGCGCTTCATCTCGCCCGCCATCATCTTTGTGAGCATCGCGGGCAGGGGGCACGGGGCCGGGGGGGGAGGTGGGGGCAGCTGTGGGCAGGGGACAGAGCAGGGTGGCTGCTCCCCGCCGGCTGATCCTGCCTGTCCCTCCCCAGTTCATCCTGGTCTTCACAGTGATCCAGTACCGGCCCATCTCCTACAACGACTACGTCTACCCCACCTGGGCCATCAGCATCGGTTTCCTCATGGCGCTCTCCTCCGTCATCTGCATCCCCATCTACGCCATCTACAAAGTGTGCCGCTCCGAGGGGGACACGCTGCTGGAGGTGGGTGGTCGGGGTGCAGCCCCCACGTCCCAGCTGGGGGTTACCACCAGGCTGTCCCCTACCCCGGGGCGCTCGGAGACACCTGCAGGCAGCAGCCACGGCGCGTCCTGGTGTGGTGGGGTGGCCGGGGCAGGGTGTGACGGCGGGAGCTGACCCTGTCCCCTACCATCTCCCTCTCTCTAGCGCTTGAAAAATGCTACTAAGGCGAGCAAGGACTGGGGCCCGGCGCTGCCAGAGCACCGCAGCGGGCGCTACGCCCCGGCGTTCAGCCCCTCCACCGAGTCCCACCTGGAGGTGCAGCCCCTGCACCCGGAGAAGGCGCAGAGCGAGGCCGCGGCCGCGTCCCCCGTGCAGGGCAGCAACGGCTTGGCCCACAGCCAGGACTCCAGACTGTGACCCCCCGCCGTCCCCGCACCCCCTCTAACCCCTCCCGCGCGGTGACACTTTCGCACCTTCCGCTGGCGGAGCCTGGCTCCGGGCCGCACCGGACGGCGGGGGGCTCTCAGCGCCCGTCCCCGAGACCCCCGACCTCCTCTCGGTTAACCCCGTCCCCCCCCGTGGCGTTTGTTAACCCTCAAGTTTACGGTAACCTTCCGTGCGCGACGCTGGGACACGAGAGGAGGGGGGGGCACAGCCCCGGGAGGGCCAGGAGCCAGAGGCACTTTGCAGGGGACCTGCCCCGTGGGGACTGGCACCCTCGGGCCGCGCGGATGGAGAGGGCACCGGGGCACTTTTTGGGGTGCTGCCCACCCCGGGACACAGCACAGCCCTCCCGGGCTCGGTCCCATGGGGCCGTGGTGGCAAGGGAGCCCCCGGCCTCGGTGGGGTGGCCACGCGCAGGGACGGCACCCAGGGGCACGGGGTGGGCAACGGGGCGAGGGCACTGCCCGCGCCAGCACAAGGCACAAGCACAAGCACTTAGGCACGCGTGCACCTGGGCGCACGCACCCCCACTGCACGCGGGCACACACCCTCGGTACCCACGGGCGCGCCGTGCGTGCGCTCGTACCCACAGCCCCGCTACGTGCAGCGTCCCCGCACCTTGGGGGGCCACCTGGGTGGTGGCACGGGCGCCTGGCGTCCCCGACGGCCTGGCACGGGCAGGGGGGGAACCTTCCATGGTGCTAAGGGGGAGCAGGAAGGACTGGCCCCCAGCTGCTGCTAGCAAGAGGTACCGGAGGAGATGGGAGGGCGGAGGCAGCCCGCTCGCTCCGAGCCATCTGGGTACGTTTTGTCCCCGAGCAGTATTAGTGGAGCAGGATGCACTGGCAAGGCCGGGCGGTTTTCAATCTGTCTTCCAGCTACAGCCGAGGGGCCGTAGCTCTCGGTTTTGGGGTGGGGAGGACGGGACCCTTCCCACCCCGAGGCTCCCCTGCCAGCCAGCACCGCGCTCCCTGTGCCGGAGCCCCGAGGCTCGCGCAGGGACGCGGGGTGGCGCGGCAGGGACAGGCTGAGGGGCAGCAGGGTGCTGAGCCCCGGCAAGGACGTTCCAGCTCCCCTGGCCCCATCCCGAGCCCCCCGTGCGACGCGGCGGAGAGGCGCAGTTTCCCGCATGGTGCCCGTGCCCTGCCCCATGTGTCACGCCGCTACTGTTCACCTCTAATTGTTAGCAATAACGCGCGCGTCCCTGGGCAGCGCTGCCTGTGCCAGTGTCTCTCCCGGTGTAGACTTCTAAAGTATCCTAGATTTTAATGAGATTTATATTCCTGAGCCCGTGTTCCGCTGTGCCCTTTTTTTGTGGGACCTGGGGAGGGGGACATTAAGGGACGGTTTCCCCCCGGGGTGCATCCTTTTCCCCCGTGGATGCCCAGCGCTGGCTTTGAGCAGCCAGGATGGGCACTGGGGGTGGAGCACGTGGAGCCCCCCTGCAGCCACCAAGGGGCTGCTGAGGCACAGGGGGACCTGCAAGGTAAGGCTGGGGGTGCCTGGGACACCCCCTTCCTTCAGCACCAGGGTAAGGAGCACTACTACATCCCCAGGGTAATATTGTGCCAGGGCTTGTGCTGTCCCCAGACACCCCCACACTGTCCTTACCCCACAGGTTGGGCCCCTCCACCCCACGTTCAGCCCTACTGGCCTCAAATTGTGCCTCCCGTTCTCCCAACCCCACTGGCTGCAGCAACTCCAGGGTTGCCCCCAACTGCCCCCTCCCTCCCCAGGAACCCTGCGAACTTTTGAAACTTTTATTAAATACAAAAACCCAGGTCTCTACGACCGAATGCTGCATTCAACGTACGCTCAAAAAAAGGGTCAGACATTCAAATGTACAAAAGTCACCGGTGCCCCCGCTGCCCCGCTGCGCCCGGCCGGCTGCGGGGAGGTGGCAGTGCCCCCAGCCCCACGCAGGGACGTGGGGAGGGACAGGGCACCTGCCCCACACGGCCCCGTCCTCTCCTCCCTGCCCCGGGGCTGGAGGGGGTAAAGCTGGAGAGCAGCAAGGGCAGAGCCAGTCCCCGTCACCTACAAAGGGATGGAGGGAGCCATGGGGCCAAGAGGGGCCGTAGGGCTTCGTGTCAACCCGTCCCCCAGAGCAGGCAGGGCTTAACGGGGAGGCGCACAGCATCTGCCTTCAGGGACAGGGCAGGGGACACGGCCACCAGCCCCAGGGACAACTGAGGCACGGCGAGGGGCTTCTGATCATAACCAGAGGTGGCTGTTTGGCAGAGCTGAGAGCCGGCTCTGAGCACCAGACTGAAGCGGAGGAAGACAGCGAGCCAGGTCTGCGCGCCGAGCTACGCACCGGTGCCCCCATCCTGCCCGCTGGGGGGGCCGGGGCTGCTCCCCCCTCCAGCCGGGGCAGCTCCCGGCGCTGGTGAAGGGGGAAGCCTGCACCCCAGCTTCTTCGCAGCACCGGTGGGGACTGGGCGCTGGGCTGCCCTGGGGGCTCATCTCCTCCCTTCCTGGGGTGCAGGCAGGAGCTGGCGTGGGCACGGGGCCGTCCCCTCCTTCTGTGCCGGGAGCTGCGCGTGGGGCAGGCGGGCGCTTCAGCCAAATCACCGAGTATGGGGCAGGGGGCTTGGAAACACACTGGTGGGGACGGGGGGGGGACAAAAGGTTGCGGAAATTCTCAGGACCAACGGGTGGGGCTGGGGCACAGCCGTCTCCGAAAGGCAGCAGAGTAGGCAGAAAACATCCCCCTCCGGTCCTCGCCCTGGGGCTGGGGCAACATCCACAGCGTCCAGCCAGCCCCGGCGCGGAGCCGCCGGCCACCCAAGGGCGCGAGCACCGGCCCCACACAGCTCTGCCTGCTGGGCAAGCGCTAGCCCCGGGCCAGGCGTGGGGGCGGGCGGCCGATCTCCACCGTGATGTTGGTGTACATGGGGGCGCGCGACACCTCCACCAGGCGGTACTGCAGCGAGCTGATCCCGTCCCGCTTCATGGTCATCTTGGTGTTCTGGATCTTGGTGAACCTGGAGGGGACGGGAGCGGGATGAGGCTTGGGGAAAAAGGGGAACCGCCTGCTGTGGGGGGCGGCGATGGCGGTGAGCAGCAGGACCTCGGAGGGGAGGGCAGTGGGAGGTGAGAGCCACAGCCCCCTGCAGCTCACCTCTGCGGGTTGGGCTCGTTGTGTTTGTCGCGTTCGTGCTTGATCATGCGGTACCTCCCGATGCGGATGTCGGGCCTCGACACCTTCATGCCGTTCAGGGAGATCCTGAGGGACAGCAGCAGAAGGGGATCAGCGCACGCCCAGACCCCAGGGCAGGACATCCTCCCAGGCCAGAGATCCCCGGGGCCAGCCCTCACCAAAAATAACCCCGTCCCTAGCTAAGCAAGAAACAAGGCTGCACTAAGCCTGCTCTCCACCAGCCAGAGGGGAGCAGAGCCAGGCCACAGCTGGGAACAGCGCCCACAACCAAGGATGCTGTTTGCTCCACAGCAGGGCATGCCCAGAGCAAGCACCGCCAGCTCCAGGTGACCCCCAGCGCTGCCGGCACTCGCTGTGCTCAGCCGGGTTGAGCAAACACCGCTATTCCCCCACGGCTCCAAAGCCACTGCTGTTTACATTCTCCAGATGCCGGTGGCCCTGCCCTTCCCTTCATGCAGCATGACTCTGGCCTCAATTGCTTTTTCTGTCTGCGCAGCCAGCAGGTGGGGAGAGATTTTCTTCTCCTAGAATAGTTCATTTAAAGTTGAGAGGCCAAGCGGGAGCAGGAAAGCTGGAGAGATCCCAGCTCACGGAGAGAAGCCTCCCCTCCTCCCAGCAACACAACTGCGCTCAGGCCTGATGAGCCAGCAAGCTGAAATTCAGCAGCTAGGGCAGCCGAGCGGTGGCACGGCCCCCTGAGGGCCCCCTGCATGCTTTTAGGGCTGCCTAAATCTCCCCGAGAGCTCAGCACGTTGCACCTCATCTCCCCTGGGACCAATGTCTGGGCCGGTTACTTTCGGAGGGGAACTGTGCCCGCTGCCCGTGCGCACAGCACCTGCGAGGGGTTCCCAGCTCAGAGGCTGCTGTGCACCACCTCCACGCGCTGCTCCACTTCCAGCACGGCCAGGCAGCGCCGTGGGACGTGCTGAAACCACGCTGGAGCTCTCCAGCTCCTGCACTCAACAGAGGGTGCGCGCGGGGAGCCGCGCTCCTGCACGCGGATCTGCTGCGGCCTGCTGGCTGCTGGCAGAAGTGCCCGCCGTGGTGCTGGGCTGCCTCTGCAGAGCCACTTCCAAGTTTTGCGTCCTGATCCCAGCCTGGAACAGAGCCCGCAGGCGGGCTTCCCCGCTCACATGTCTCAGCTGGCTTGGAACTGCAGCTCGCTGCCCACAAAGAGCAGGAGGAGGAGGAGGCTGGGCCCCCCCACGCCACGTAGGATGACCCCCAAGGGCTGTCCAACAGTCCGAGCTGTGGCACCAGCGTGACAACTCGCAGCCCTGCCAGCCTGGAGGGCAATTAAACTCCTCCCTGTGGTATGGCAGGGACCCTCCCTGCATGTCACATATGTCCCAGCACACACCAGTGAGTCCTGAGCCGAGGCTGGGTAAGGGGTTGGCACCTACCGGTTAAAGATGTCGTCGTCCTCTCCTCCCCAGCCCCAGTACTCATTGGGAAAACCATTGATCTTCAGGAACTGGGACTTGCTCAGCCCAGAGACACCACCGAAGTAGCCAGCGTAGGGCAGCCTGCAGGGTGAGAGGAGAGAGATCAGGGAATGGGGCCAGCCCCACAGGGTCCCCCAGAAGCAGGGACGAGCACCAGCCCTGCCAGTGCCACCCTCACGCAGGGCTCTGCGCCCTCTGCCATCCCATGTCCAGTTTGAGCCACTGCCCCCATGCCAGCCCCAGGCAATAACCACACGGGCAGCCCAGCTTCATCCCAAAGCCCCCCAGCCCCTGCCTCCCAAAACACCTCAGCCCTGAGGCACCCACCTGAACCCAAACTTGTCCATGCCGACGGCAAAGTGCCGCGGCTGCTCGTAGCAGCGGTACAGGTTGCGGTCATCCATGGGGATGAGGTCCACGTCGCTGAAGATGAAGCAGTCGTACTCCTCGTCGTCCTTGAGCGCCTCCAGGAAGCCCACGTTGAGCAGCTTGGCCCGGTTGAAGGTGTCCTCGCCGTACTGCGGAGCAGGGCGCGTGGCCACAGAGCTCAGCGACGCCTGCGCGCCCGCCGCAGCCCCGCCGCCCTCCTCACCCCACCCTACAGACCTGGTTGATGATGTAGATGCCGTAGGCCACCTTCTGCCGGCGCAGGATGGGGTGCAGGTAGTGCAGCCAGTACTTGAGGTGGTGCTCGCGGTGCCGGAAGGGGATGAGGATGGCCACCTTCTGCCGGGGCAAGCAGTCCGGGGGGGTGTACTTGCCGCCCTGGCGCACATCGGGGTTCTCCCGCTGCACCCGCTCCATGCTCATGGGGGAGCTGAACTCGATGAGCAGGCGTCCGACTGCACGAGGGCAGGGCGGTGGTGGTGGCATGGCACGGGACACAGGACAGGTCACGGTCACCCCGCTGCTCCGAGCAAACAGCAAGGGGGACCCACAAGGGGGAGTGGCACTGCCGAGGACAAGGGACTCCCAAAAACCTCTCCCCACACCAGCAGGGACCACCTGCCCGCTCCCAAACCTTGGGTTTTCCCCAGCCTGGGACCACTGGGAAGCCACGCGGAGCACCCAGGGATGGGGACACCCCCCCGCCAGCACCCGGCTGCCCTGCTCTCACCCCGCACACCTCACCTAAGCCAGGGGGTGTCTCCTGGCAGGGCTGCAAGGGCTTCTCGGTGACGGAGCGGTTGGTGCTGGGCTTGGCGCTGGGCGACGGGGGCTCAGCGCCGGCCGGCCCGTAGCTGGGGGCGGTGCTGTTGGGCCGGGAGGAGTTGGAGAAGGGGTGCGTGCGCGAGGCGTTCCTGGCGTTGAAGCGGCTGAAGAAGTCCAGGTGCTGCGCGTAGACGTCGAAGTAGAGGATCATGATGATGACAAAGTGGAGCAGGCAGAGCAGCAGCACGGCCTTGCAAATCCTTTCCAGGGTCACCCCCAAGAGCAGCCTGGTCATCTTCCGGGCACGGGCAGGCGGACATGTGCGCTCAGCGGGGCAGGGGGGCGGCTCCAGCCACGGTCCCGATCCTGCTGAGACACCCTGTGCTCAGGATGGGGCCGGGCACAGCCCCGCTCTGCCAGCACCACCCAAACCCAGCCCCGGTGCCCAACAGGGACTTGAAGTCCCTGCCCTGAAGGCACAGCCACGAACGCACGAGAGGGACTAGGGACAAGCACAAGTCTTCCCG